TGAGATACAGAAAATATTGATCTAGCAAAAGCTATTTAACTTTAACTGTAATTAGATCACTAAAGGTGATGGATACAAAATTCACAAGCCTCAACAAGACCAGCAACTTAAAGAATTTATTTCCTCTCAGAGAGAGCATAAATATGTAGAGCTGTCTCCAAATTGACTCCTAAGTGAATTGAATAATTTCCATGTTATCAGAGAAATTGAAGGATATGAAAATACTGATGTACAGAGATAGATAAGAAACTATGTGCAAAGTAAGGTTCAGTCCTGTTATGATCTCAGGAATATCATCTATAGAATGCAGCAGAACAGAATTGAATAACATGGACTGCCGTGTCACATTGAGATTCGTCTACAAAAACACATAGCCACTCTGCAGTATATCCTGTGAAGCAATTTAAGATACGCTCTTAACATGAAAGGCCTTATATCACATATAAGTATTATTATTATTACTATCTGGTGGAGGTGGTTTCAGAAATAGTGTAATTCATACCAGATGCGGTATTATAATAATAATCCTTATACTTGGTATAGCACCTTTCAAGTCGGAAGGACAAAGGACATTACAAAGGACTTCACAGGATATACTGTAAATTACAGTGACTGTACTTTGCGGGTGAATGCGACAGCCAATTTGAACACAGCAGTGTCCCACAAACAGTCATGAAGTGAATGAACAATGTTATTTGGAGGATTGGAAACTAGGATCCTGGAAGAATAGTGCCTCTGCAACTTTAACATTCACCTGAGCAGGCAGCCAGTGCCTTGGTTTAATGTCTTATCCAAAGAACGATTCTCCAACAATGCAACACCCTCTCAGCACTGCTCTGAATTGTCATCTTAGACTACATGAGTTCCAATTTCTGAGATAGGGCTTGGACCCACCATATTCTGACTCAGAAGTGAGAGTGCTGCTAACTGAGCCAGCTTGACGCATAAACACGTGGGTGCAAATCACAGTAGGCTCACTCCCTTGTCATGTTTTTAAAGCTCTCAGTTGTTTTGATGGTTTTCAATGTAATTCAATAAAGGGTTACAGCTCTTCAATTATATTAAATATATATATACTCAAATTGGTGTTCTGAGATTCGGCTAAACTGCACTAAGTACAGAACTCTGAAATTGGGAGGTACATTTCCAGCAGCTATGATGTGTGTGGGATGAGTAAATCAAACTTTCTGCTCCACATCGCTATGACAGTGGAAGCGAAATGGCTACTTTCATAGCTGTATAAACACAGCATTAGGTATGTCAATTATTTTCCATGGCCCACTGTAAGGGTAAATTTAATTTTCTCATTCTATTCCTCTTCATGATTTTATGTTCTTAGTTCTTTATGTTCTATGCTTGCAAAAGAGAAATGCTAAAGGGTTTGGGTGCATGCTGAAGAATGGGATTAAATTAGAAAAAAACATCTATACAGAGTTCATGAGCCAAATTATTTATCTGTGCTGTAACATTCTATCTTTTAGGACTCCTTTATGGTATAAATTGTTGTTACAATTCTCACTGACCACACTGTCAGAAACAAATATTCTTTGACCTCAAGTGATGTATTGTGTTATGATTAGGCTAGGTCAAAAATGTTCTTCCATCTATGTCACTTGTTACAGTACAATTGCCAGGAAACAATCAAACATAGTACTTCAAGAGCAGCAAGTTACTATACTTTCAAAGCTGGACAAATAGGAATGCCCACCATGCACACATTGTTGTAGCGTAATGAATTATAGACATACAAGGTTGTAATTCATTTGGTTTATGAGCACTGGTCAAACTCCAAGAACATAAGCTAGCAGCTATTCTTTCTGTGTAAACTGTTTTCTATATATATTTCCAAAAAATCTGTGGTAAAATTAATGTGACATTGGTGAAAGACTAAGACAGCTGAAATAGCATAGGACCTCATGCAAATTATACTATTAAAACCTTTTATTTTACATTACCAATAAATTACCTTGTTTAGAATATATCAATAGTGGAACCTAAATTATCTGTGCCTAATAATATTGTAACATGAATGTGGTTAATCCACAGAGCATCAAATCATGTAGACATGGTGGAACTGGCTAGCCTGACTCAGTAGGTAGCAACCTGGGCTCTGAGTCAGAAAGTTGTGGGTTCAAGTCCTACATCAAGACTTTCAACTCACAGTCTAGGCTGCGCTCTAGCAGGACTCCCTGCTGGATGGACTACCTGCTCCTTCACTTCACAAGCTGCGGACTATCAGAACTCTGCCCCTCAATTCCTTTGCCACACTAGACTCCACGGGTCTATCACCCACATCCTTGCTGGCTCCATTGGCTTCCCATTCCCAGCAGATTGAATTCAAGATCCTAGTCCTAACCTTTAAATCCCTCCATGGGCTTGCCCCACCCTACTTGGGCAACCCCAAATCCTACAAACCTAATGGTGTCCTCTGCTCAGTGGGGACTGATCTGCTTCATGTCCTCTGCTTCAACCTCCCCACCATCGTCGTGATCAGAACTGAATTACTATTTATTGTTTTTGTTAGGTTAGGTTTGCTTATGCTTGGCAGCCAGTGTCAAGATGACCTGTAGAATTACAACCCTAATTAAATTAAGATGAGTTGAGGAACGCTATCTGAGTGTGACCGATGTTATGGATAGCTGGTATAAATCTAGATAAAATATTATGTGAAAATGCCTGTATGCGAGAGTATTTTTGTAGTTTTGTATTGTAAAATGCTATGTCAGGAGTGTTATAACATACATCACCTTGTGAAAATCAAACATTCAAATGAAAAATGTAATTATGATTGTGTTTAACAACTAGGGGACTTCTATAGTGTTGGACAGAAGATTTACAAACTCCAACGACTTGCAATTGCCCAGAACCGCTATAAATATCTTACATATTAACTGAACAAGAGTCTCCTTTTCTGGATTATATGCTAACGCAAAGCTCTTCCTATTATTTATATGTACTATAAATGGTGCCTTTACGAGCTGATTCATTTCCTCGCACTTGACTGCGTTGGTTATATGACAAGCTTATTAAGCCTGCTTTGTACAGTATAAATTGTGCTATAAATTGTAAATTTTCGAAGCACTACCTGCAGCAAAATAGGTCAGTGTGCGTTACAACTCTTGTGAATAATTCTGTGGGCAATTGCTCCTTGTCACTGGGACATTGGGAGGGTCCCTGTGTTGTCTGCAGTGGTTATGGCACAGACTGCCTGACTTTATCACAGCGAGTGGACAGCACCTTTCCCTGTTTCACACTCCCTGCGCTCTGTGAGTCGCACTGTAAACACCAGAGCTCTGTTAACAGACAGCAGCGCGGAATGGATTTAAATGCAAATTCCTTTAGCACATTGCACTAACTTTTTAACAGCTACAGGGAACTTTTACATTACCTCCCCACCCCCCCCCACCCCACCCCCCCGCTTTCCCTTGTGCGATCAGAGGCACATGCACTCCTGACAGGTCGCTTGAAGGGCGAACAAACTCACAGGAGCTGTCCGTTGAAATGTGCGATTTTGAGAACACATTGCAACTGTCTGCTTATACTGCATATGGAAATAAATAACCTGCCTGCTGCCAGTGAAATGGGTTAAGGCTGTGCAAGCTTCCCAATGGATGTGCTATGCATTCAGTGAGCGATGCTGGTCTGGTGTCCGGCTCCCAGCACAGCCCCTGTCCAAGGTGCTGAAACCATCCTCTCGCTCCTCTCCTCCTGTGATGGATAAGGGACCAGACCCCAAAAGGCACCGGAGTTTCGCTGGAGTTTCCAATTTTGCAAAACATCCTGTTTAATGAACACCATCCATCAATTGCTGGACCGTTTCTTAAATTAAAACATACCAGCCAACGGGTGATGTGTAAAGTATCTGAGCTAATTGCAGAAAGTGGCTGGACTGAGATACACAGATCACTGGAAGGGAATAGGAATTGTGTCGGATATAAAATACAATTACACCTGATTCATTATTCGATTGTTTAATTGGTGAAAACAATATATTACAACCCCAAAATCTTGAGAGTATCCAGGGATAAACTTTACACCCCTCAAAAATATAAAATTGATTACAGTACAATATACAACTCTCGAGAAAAATACCTATTAATGAAAGGATTATTAACGCCACAAGACACCTTCTCGGATACCACACTGACAGTATGCAGTTAACTAGTTCATTTTTTTTTTAAAAAAAAGGACAACAAAATGTGTGTTTTCACTTCATGGCATTGGAAGACAGTGCATTGGCTGCCAGTTATGCTCCAAATTGCCAACACTTCGGTTGTCGTTGCAGACACAGCATGATCCGGAGTTATTGCTCAGTGTCAGTTCTTGATTCGAGCACAAAAAAACAACAACTCTTAATCCCGAGAGATGGGATTACACACATTGCATTACACTGGGACACAGTGTGATGTGAGGCTACAATTCGCAAACTTTGGACACACACCCCCCCCCCCCCCCCCCCCCCGCTGCTGGGCTCTGTCAGATCGGGACGGCTGGTTGCATTTAGTGGCATTTTCACGATCTGAAGGCATTGCATAAACTCGTTATTGTGTAAAATTCATTGCAACCGAACCTGCGCTTTCCCCCGAGGAGGCGGTGAGCACCGCACCGGCACTGCCGCCTCCACATCAACACTCAGAGCAGAGACACACAGCACAGCCGCACTGTCCTCAGCACCGCATCTGCTTTGCAAAATGCACTTTGCACATTATAATCCGCAGAGAGCTGCGTGTGTGTGTGTGTGCGTGTGTGTGTGTGTGTGTGTGTGTGCGTGTGTGTGTGTGTGTGTGTGTGTGCGTGTGTGTGTGTGCGTGTGGGTGTGTGTGTGTGTTTCCAAATCGGATTCCTCTCCAGTAACACTGTGCAATTCACTAACTTGTCCAAACGGTGTTTCCCGTTCACTCTCATCCCAGTTTCCCAACTCCTGCTCCATCGCCTCCTCGTTAAAGCTCTCCCCCGGCGGCCACACCGCACGCAGCGCGATTATGGAGAAAACAACTTACGTGTCCCATCAAAACGCGTTGCTATGGTGTCGAGGAAGGTGTTTTGTGGCGCTAATAATCCCTTCATAACAGGCATTTTTCCTGAGAGCTGTGAAATTCTCCATCAAAGTTGCGCGGCTGTGCAGAGTGCAGAGAGAGAGAGAGAGAGAGAAAGAGTGAGGCGGGTCTCAGCAGAGGGAGCTCTGGCTGCTCTCCTCCTCTCTCTCTCCTCTCCTCTCCTCTCTCTCCTCCTCTCCTCTCCTCTCTCTCCTCCTCTCCTCTTCTCTCTCTCCTCCTCTCCTCTCCTCTCTCTCCTCCTCTCCTCTTCTCTCTCTCCTCCTCTCCTCTTCTCTCTCTCCTCCTCTCCTCTCCTCTCTCTCTCCTCCTCTCCTCTCTCTCTCTCCTTCTCTCTCTCCTCTCTCCCTCCTCTCCTCTCCTCTCCTCTCTCCCTCCTCTCCTCTCCTCTCCTCTCCTCCTCTCTCTCTCTCCTCTCCTCCTCTCCTCCTCTCTCTCTCCTCCTCTCCTCTCTCTCCTCCTCTCCTCTCTCTCTCTCCTCCTCTCCTCTCTCTCCTCCTCTCCTCTCCTCTCTCTCCTCCTCTCCTCTCCTCTCCTCTCTCTCCTCCTCTCCTCTTCTCTCTCTCCTCCTCTCCTCTCCTCTCCTCTCTCCCTCCTCTCCTCTCTCCCTCCTCTCCTCTCCTCTCTCTCCTTCCTCTCCTCTCTCTCTCCTTTCTCCCTCCTCTCCTCTTCTCTCTCTCCTCCTCTCCTCTTCTCTCTCTCCTCCTCTCCTCTCCTCTCCTCTCTCTCCTCTCCTCTCCCTGCCTCTTCCGGTCCACACAGCTGAGCTGAGCTTGACCAAGAGAGAGGACACAGGAAAATAGAGAGGGGTTGTGGGGAGGAAGATGAGAAGAAGGACCAGAGAGAGAAGGAAGGAAGTAGAAGATTTAAAATAGTTGTTAAAGGAAACAGAGGGGGGACGGGGGGAGGTGCGGGGGAATCGTTTTCACGCAGCGAGTTGTTCGGATCTGGGATGCACTGCCTGAAAGGATGGTGGAAGCTGATTCGATAACAGCTTTTAAGAGAAGTGGATAATCATTTGGGGTGGGCAACAACAACTTGCACTTATGTAGCGCCCTCCACACAGGGTAGCGTCTCAGAGCGCTTAACAGTGGCGGAGCCTGACCAAGTTTGTGGGGCTATGGGGAGAGCGCGGGGGAGTGGGATTGAATCGGATAGCTCTTTTCAAAGAGCTGGCACAGGCACGATGGGCCGAATGGCCTCTTTCTGTGCTGTGTAATTCTATGATTCTATGAAGGGATGAGAGTGATGGGAAGGTAGAGGAAATGAAAGTGTGGAAAGAAGGAGATAAGAGGATAGAGAAAGAAGAAATAGAACGAATGAATGAGATGGGAGATAGAGAGGGCAAGAGGTGGGAGAGGAAGATAAGAGGGCAGAGAGGGAAAGATAGAAGAGATGAGAAAGTGGGAAGAAGGAGATAAGGGGACAGAGAAGGGGGAGAGAGAGAGGTGGGAAGAGATAAGAGAATAATAAAATAATAATCCTTGCATTTTATATCACGCCTTATCAAGTCGTTGACGCGGCTCACAGGATTTACTGTAAAGTGTAGTGACTGTATTTTGTTCCAGCAATTTGTGACCAGCAATGTCCCACAAACAGCCATGGACTGAGTGATCAATTTTATTTGGGAGATTATTGGTCATGTCACTGGGAGAAATTATTTGTTCAAATAGTGCCGTGGGATCATTATTTTCCACCTGATCAAGCGGACAAGCCCTTGATTTAATATCTCATCCGAAGCACAGCACCTCCATCAATGCAGTGCATGCTCACTGGGGCTTGATCCAACAATATTCTGACTCAGAGGTGAGAGTGCTACCAACTGAGCCACCCTAACCCAAGAGAGAGAGTGGGGGAAGATAGAAGGGATGAGAGGAGTGAAAATGAAGGTAATATGACAGATAAGAGGGAAAGGGGAGGTAAGAGGATAGATGGAGAGAGAGATGATATAGGGATGGAGATGAGAAGAGGTAAGTAAGAAGATAGAGTGTAAGAGGGGAGAAGAGAAATCAAGAGTACAGAGAGAGGGAGGACAGGGGCGAGATTGTGTCACAAAATTCAAGAGAGGATTAGATAGCTAATTTGTAAAGAAATTTATTGAAAGTATGACTGATAATGCAATATAGAATTATTTATATTTTATTGGTCCGGGAGATATGGTTGGATAGAAATTCTGTAGTTTTGCTTGAATTAACTTTGGGAGGCAGGAAAACACTTGCAGAACCTTTTCTTAGGACTTAGGTGCCCAAAATATGACAGTGAGTCATACTTTGGGCACCCAAACTTTCTGGACGCTACCCTGTGTGAGGGGCACTATATAGATGAAAGTTGCTGTTGTTGTTGTGAGTCTTTATTTGTTGTCCGGACTCCCAGTAAACAGAGTCAAGTTTGGAAATCAGGATTTTGTTTTAGTTCCACAAATGCATAGGTTCTGGATCGTGAAATGCACATCCTAACCAGTCAGTAAAGTGCAAGATATGAGAGCAAGACATACAGTTGGAGAGGCAGAAAGAAATACACAGTTGCACAGACAGAGAGAATAAAAATATAATAATCCCTGCGTTTGATATTGTGCCTTATCAAGTTGTTAAAGACATCACACGAGAAATACACAAACACTCACACACAGGCAATTAGACAGAGATATATAAGTAAATACACACAGAGTCGCACAGAGAGATAAACATACATACTTTGAGAGATAGAAAGAGAAATATGCACATTCACACACTCACACACAAAAAAAAACCCAGAGAGGCGGAAAGAAATACACAGAGAGAGAACTATGTGCACACACACAAAAATACACACAGTAGAGAGGTAAAGAAAGAGAGAAATACAAATAATTAGAGGAACAGAGAGACAAATGTACACAGTTGGAGAGATAAAGGCAGAGAAATACACAGAGAGACAGGGTGAGAAGTATACACACGCACGCACAGCAAGAGAAAAATATACACACAGACATATAGAAAAATAAACACGGTTTAGGGAGACATAGAGAGAAATACATATAAAACTAGAGACGTAGAATTTGAAAAACACACATGACCAGTGGAGATATAGAGAGCGAAGTACAGTACAAAGCTAAGTGTCCACACTAATTGGGACTGGCTCATTGTAAATCACCAAACAATCTGGATAAATAAGTAAAATACAAATTGGCTGTAGTATCAACTAAAATATTGTTATTTCAGGAGGTCTGTGATTATAGCATTATACTGTGTCAGGGCCTTCTCTCTTTATTTCCCAACCATTCCCTCCATAGTGGACTAGAAAGCTGCAAAGCCATTGCTCTCTGACCAATGTTTATCAGGATTTATCTCTGATGCTGCATTATGTAGGTGAGATTGAAGTCACTTCGTTCTGGCATTATAACAACATCAGCGAGAAGCTCAATCTATACTTCATGCTGCATACCCAAATGCCACCTGGTCTAAGCCTATAAAACTATATTAAAGTCTTAAAATCTAAATTTGTGCAGAATTGTGGAAAGTTTATAAATTCAGTCTTAATTTAAAGCTGGTTCTCATTGAGAAGTGCAGAAAATTAACTTTCAAATTAGGACTGATTTACAGAAACATTTACCAAAGTCATGGAAATATTCTCTCAAATGGGTAGGATAAATGTAGCCTGGGATGCAGGATTATGTTTTCAAAGGTAGAACCATTCATCTCTGAAAATAATCTTTCCATCCTTTCCAGCCTTGAATCCATCATTGTGTTCATAGTGGCTATTTGATGTGTGGGTGATTCATTAAATTGTGAAGGTGAAAGTATTGTTGTGTCTGTGCTTGTGCAATGGATAATGTGACATAAACAGGAAGGATTTTACCAGATTATCTAAAGGTTACCCAGAAGTTATTCTCAATTGAGTCTCACCAGATTCTCCAAGGCTGATTTTTTCACAATGACTGTTGCTTCTGTTTGCACCATGTCTAGCAGTTGAAAGACAATGCTTTTGTTATAATGTTTTTAACATCATGGAATCTATTCCTGACCTCCTGCCAAGTTCTGCAGGTGGCAGACACACAATTGATCCAGCTGGTGATGTCTTTCCACGCCTGTTTTCTGTGGATTTAAATTTCTCTATCCAATCCCCATTGCCTAACAGCATAAAAAAATAATCTGTCCAGGTTTATTTGAGTGATATTGCCCTAACTCAAATAGAAATCCACCTGAACGGACAGATTTGTTCTAACGTCTCATCCAAACGACACCACCTCTAACAATGCAGCACACCCCCAGGCTGCAATGGAGGGTCAGCACTTAGCGTTGGGCAACCTTTTTGGTCGGCCAATAAAACACATTTTCTTGATTGAAAATTTCTCAATTTATGCCATAAATCATGAAATATTCCATCAAGAAAATACTGGAAACATGTGACCATGGACTTACCTAGATGCATGTGAATGTTCGGGGGCACTTCTTGGCAGCCCCACAGGCCACTTCTGGCCCGCAGGCCATGGGTTGGCCACCACTGTCTTAGACTATATAAGTTCCATCTTCTGACATGAGGCTTGATCCCACAACTTTCTAAATCAGTGGCCAAAGTGCTGCCAACTGAGCCAGGCTGCCAACATTATTCACAAGTTAAGAATTGGGAGGGTTATTTCCAAAGACATCTTAATGATTTTCCTTAAATAAGGAATGGAGAGTATGTTTAGAAATAGTATACGCACATTTGATCCCAATGTTAGCAACACGTGGTAATGACAGTATCCTTTAATTGCCCAGACAGTCTTTAATGTTAATCCTTTATCATTGATCTTTTACCCTTTTTGCTCTTTAACATTTCACTTTGACATCAGCCTATTTTATTTTGTGACTTTTCCTACAATATCAATTCAACTTCTTTGGTTTCCCAAGTCTACAAGAAAACCTTGCCCTTTTTTTCTATCCTTTCATAACATCCTATAATAAAGCAAATTGATCTTACTTCCGTTATTAATCCTATAATTTATTAGCATAACAAATGCTCAATATCTCAAGCATCATTCTGAATGCTTGCACCATTCAGTTATAAGCACTTAAAACAGTCTACATGGCTTATTTTAAGATCATTTACTTCCTTTGTATTTTTGTGCGGATTTACT